AATATATCCTATTTTAAGAAAACTAAAGTAAAGATGAAGCTCAACATGTTATCTAAATGTTTGTGTCTGGTTTTGACAGGTGCAGCCGGAGTCCCCTGCAGAGATGGCCGGCTTGCAGCCCTTCTTTGACTTCATTCTGTCTCTGGACAATAGGAGACTTGTAAGTTTATCATTTTAATAAGTACTGAGGTCATTGAGCACAATGATGGTGATGCATTAGGCATGTACAGATATTCATGATTATTAGAAATATATGCATCACTATACTGTGTAGGAATAGTATAATAGATAGTTTGACTTTTGACCCCTTCCATGGCAGAATGAGGAAAACGACCTGCTGAAGGAGCTCCTGAAGGCCAACATGGAGAAATCAGTGAGGATGGAGGTGTACAGCACTAAAAGCACGAGGGTCCGTGAGCTGGAGGTGGTGCCCAGCAACATGTGGGGAGGACAGGGGCTGCTGGGGGCCAGTGTACGCTTCTGCAGCTACCAAGGAGCCAGTGAGAATGTGTGGCACGTCCTGGTGAGTAGTTTCAATGAGAACCAGTAAAACCCACTGACATATCTCTGAACTAAGCCTCTTTCCTCATGACCTCATCATATAGTAGCTTCATATTTTGTTCACTCTGTAACTGAAGCGTCTTTCCTCCCTAGGATGTGGAAGTTAGTTCACCTGCTGCTCTGGCAGGGCTCCAGCCACACAGTGACTACATTGTTGGAGCGGATCAATTGTTGCAAGATGTAAGACTTGTTTTGATATCATACATCAGTGGCGTCCTTTGTGGGATTTTGAAAGTTGTGTCCAAGGTTATCTTTGAAAGCAGAGTTGTAGTTAATTCAGAGCTTCTGATTTCCAGTCAGAAGACTTCTTTTCTCTGATCGAGGCCCATGAAGGGAAACCCCTGAAGCTTCTAGTGTACAACATACAAACGGATGCCTGCAGAGAGGTGGTGGTCACACCGAATGGAGTGTGGGGAGGAGAGGGCAGGTATGAGGCAACACATTGATCAATATGAGTGGATGAGTCACAGTGACACACCAGAGAATACCAGGGAATTTATCTTTTTGGTTCAGGAGCATTTTGATAGATCAAGATGGCATTCACAAAAGATTCTCTTCACAAATGTTGTGATTCTAAATGAAGAGAAAGGTGAATCCAGATTCATTCTTGTGTTTGCTTCCTAATGTTTACAGTTGATTTCTTTTTTAAATTATTTATCGTAAAATGCTTATAACTTATACATTATTACTTTATATGTTATAAAATGTGTATTTATTAAATTGTGATATTATAATATGAATTGATATAAAAATGTTTCCTCTTAGTTTGGGTTGTGGCATTGGTTATGGTTACCTGCACCGAATCCCTGCAAATCCAGACATATCAACTGCAAAGCCTCCCACCCCTGTCCCTGAGGAGAAACCCTCTCCAACACCGCCTGCACATGGATTCACAGAGGTAAGTGTTAAATTCATGTCATTTTCATTTATGTATTTATTTTGATTGAGTAATTGTTTTATTTAAGAAGTCAAAAGATTGTAGGATTCCATTTTTAGGTAGCGTTTTCTGAAGAAAAAACACTCTAGATATATATTTTATAAGAATGAAATGTAATAAACCATAAATCCTCACATTTGACAGTTTTGTGACGAATGACTTAAATCAACTATAATCGTTGGCAACTAATGGATTTAATGGCTAATTGTTTAGTTCATTTCTGTGCCTTGGTTTAGTCCTGACGAATCTATTTGCAGATTAAATGTGCGTAATAGAATACGGAGACAAGATAATAATAGTTATGATCTATGTTGGCATTTCCTCAGTTTTCCTAAACATCCACATTGATTTCCTGATAATGTTCAATGAGATCAAACTCTAAACAGATAACCAATGTTTGTTTCCAGGCTCCTTTAATGGCGCCTTCCGGCCTGAGTGAAGATGTGTTAGATGTGGAGCAGGTCAACCTGCAGGAAGCTCCTCTTCCTCCTCCCATCCAGACAGTCACAGACCCTGGTCAGTTCAGATTATACAGAATTTAAAGAGGATTCATTGGGATGATAATTGGCTTTCATCTGATGGTGTTGCCCGTGTGTTCACGTTTTTTTACCTGGTTTCTCAGAGTCTGCAGTGGCAGTGATGAGCCCTGACACTGCAGATGTGGTGGACAGGCTGGATCTGTCCATGTCATCCATAGACATGACCAACACGTCACTGACTATGCATGAGGAGAAGGACGGTGAAATCTCTGGCATTGGTGAGTTATCACAGCAGCAGCTCATTACAGTTTACAGCTGCTTTCATGTAAACCTTTGTCCGATGAAGAGATTAATTTTTTTAATATATATATTTGTTTCCCTGCTGTACAGAGGAGCTGGATGACAGTGTACTGCTCTCATCATCAGCGGAGGACCAGACTGAGTCACAAGAGCTGAGCTCGCAGGTGGTCATGGAGCTCACCCCTGCTCTCGCTTCCACTGACATTGTGTCTGATTCAGGCATCCCACCAGCAGAACCATATCACTCGGTCACAGAGTCTACTGCCCCACAAAGCTTTCTAATGGAGTCTAATGAGAGCCCAAGTCCACCTATGAGTGCGTTGTCTCCCCCTGTAGACACACCCGAACCTCCTGTTGAGCCCTCTGTCCCTATCGAAGACCCTCCCTCCCCACTTCCCGTTGATCTCCTCCAGTCCCCGGCCGTTGATGAGACGACAGCAGATGATTCTCCTCCTCAGGTTGTCGAGGATGCAGCACGGTCAGCGGAGGAGTCCGCTGAGCCTCTAGATGTAGCTCCTGCTCGGCCGTGCAGCCATGAGCACGATGAGGAGGAACCAGAAGAGACACCTGTTGAGTAAGCTTGTATCAGGCTTTAACACAAAGTACAAAAATGCAAGGTGAAGCTGACAATCACTTTTATAAGAAACACTAGAGAGGGAATTCAGGATAGACAAGGGAAGGCTTCCTGATTTTACACTGATAGTCTTACAGGAATGTGTACCATCAGGTTAGTTACACTACAGGAACCAGCTACAGCATTAACATGTAGACAGATACTTTGAGTCACTGTAGGAATATCCTTTTTTTTCTTTTATATGTGAGAATTTAAAGTTACAGCTAATTTATTTAGCCAAAATGATGTTATGTTATCAACTCTTTTATTTGTCTGGTGCAAGATTAGATTTTACTTTGTAGCACGCTTTATTTCTGGGACACTAATGTGATCAATACTTGAATACTTCCAAAGATAAGCAAGTAATATAATGAATATAATGAAAAAACACATGTCAGGCATCTACTACAGTAAAGAACAACTGCACCTTAATATTCGTAAAAGTTTTTTAAAACTACAGTTTGGATAGATTGCAAGTCTCAAGGTGCAGAGTTATATCTATTGTTGGTGTGCTTTGAAGAAGCATTATCTATAAAATGACTCCCATAATAGAGCATTTTTTAAATTGCAAATTTTAAGAACATTGGTTTTAGAAGGTTCTGTCTGGCATGGAGGGAAATATTTGTCCACTTATGATTTTAAACTACTTACCACAAGCTTTTATAATAGATCAGATGATGCCAGTACATTTTATATGCTTGTCTTTAATTTAATCTGCCATATAGTCTGTGATCAATTTCAAAACATTTGACAGCTGATATTATGTCCCCCATGTTTTACTTTACACTATTTTTACCTTGTTATCTATGCAACAGTAGACAAGAGCTGCCTGTGACTTTACAATGTGTTTTATAATGTAAATTCAATAGATAAGTCTTTTGAGATATGTATGTGGTAATACTGCTGTTGGGTAATAGTTTGTTTTTTCTAGGGGGCTACTTAATGTTCTTCACTGTCAAAATAGGTGCTAGTGTGTAAAATAAGGAAAAGTATTTTTGCAGATACTATCAATGGTTTGTATGTTTTATTAGGAATGAGTGCAGATTCTTTTGATGAATGGGAGATGGGTGAATCTTAAAAGGTTAAACAATCATATCACTTAAAAAAAAAAGAAATCATTTGTTCTTATTTCACACTCATCAGCTGAACACGTTACAACTCAAGAAAACATTCATCTATAATTACCATAGATCTGTCATTGTTAAATCATTCCAATTTATTTATCTGAATGCCTAAAATATACATATTTCACAAGTTATTACAACAGGGATATTGCAGTGTTACGGCCTAATTACGGCACCCATCCTGTTTTTGGCCAATTAGAGCTCACTCTATGCATCCCCCTCACGACAGCTTATACACACTCACACTCCTCATTGCAAAATTAACTCCAGAAAATTTACAATGAAAGGATCTGCTGTTCTGCTTGGAGACACACCAAGAGAGAAATGGGTAGTTGCGTTTATTTCACTTTGGTGAATTTCCCACAGTGGTTGAATGTTCATATATTCTCTTGGATGAGATTCCCCCCCTTCAAGTTACGTACATTTGTTTCATTGAACTCCTATTGAATCTAAAGGAAATGTACATTTGAAAAGCCCTCACTGTCAGCAGAGTCACTGCTCATGAGCTGAGTACAGAGTGAGGAGTAAGCATTAGTTATTGTGTAAGATATAATATGCCTTATATATAATTTCCCAATCGCTTAGATGACTTGAACAACTACCGACATTCTTAAAGATTAAACTGCAATTTCTGGGTTGTAGTGAATACAACAAATGCAATTCATAACATCCAAGTAAAATTTACCTTCATGACCACGAATGTGTTCTAGATTTTGAAAAATAACTTGTTTTTTTTTTAAGTAAACTGTACATCAACAAAATATAACTGAAGCAACCCCCTCACCCCTCTGAACAAAATCAAAAAAATGTTGTACATATATTTACAAAAAAGAACATTCAGTCCATTTAGAACAGCACAGCTAAACAGAAGAGACAAAGACAAGTGCTGCTGTCAGCAAAGTTCAATGATTAGACGTCTAAGCCAAGGGTTAGGTTCAAGTTCAGATGTACGATGTCGACAACAGAACGAAAGAGGATTGATTTTGAGGGATTGTGATGCTACCCAGAGACCAAGTGTACTCCTAAAGTGGTGACACTGCTGAGACGGCTGTGGAGTGTTTGTAGAACAAGGACAGTTTCTGGAATGTACTAGAACAGTCTACTACATCCATGTGCATATACACACGCACACACTCACAAACACGATCGCTTCAAAACAAAATGGCAGTCAGGAGGAATGAAACAAACTTAGCGGTCAAATTGGAAAAAAAAAAAAAAAAAGTTAAAGAGTCCTTTCTTCAAACTGTAAAAAAAAAAAAAAATGAAAAAACATGGACCACTTATTTCCCAGGTGTCTGTTGGCTGCTCGGGCATGTTCTGGTCAGTTCCCTATGATACACCATGAGCCACGTCCTCACAAATTTTACTGGATTCTCATTGATACAGCGACTCTTGACCACACAATGGGGTTAAGGGTACTACAAGTCAGAGGTGGGTGGTGATTGGCAAATGACAGAGTTCTTGTTTCAAAAATGATGACTTTCACGTAGACTTCTGCCTATAGTGAAGCGTCAAGTCCCCGCCACTCTTCCAGATAAAATGTTTAACTGTTCGCAGGTCCATGTTGGGATCCAGAACCTGGGTCAGAGGTGAAAAACAAATAGGTTAATACATTAACTAAAATTCAGGGTGCAAATCTACTTATATCAACAGCTGTGTCTCAATTCAGAGGCTGAACGAAAAAAACCCATGTAGAGACCATCTCGTTTCAGACTGTCAACCTTGCACACGAAGACCGCCTCCTTCGTGGGCCAGGTAGACCACGTTCTTTGAAGAATGCAGCCCCTAAATTGACACTCAGCAAGTATGGACCTTCAAGGATGTTTGTGCTCACCTGGTCTTGACACATTAGCTCAATCTTCTCCTCGGCGAGCATGGCCATGTCCTCCTCCTTCTCCTGCTCCCCGGGTTTGTCGTTGGCCGTGGAGCTGGTGGTCTGCGACTCGTTGTCGAGGTTAATGATCTTTTCGTAAACATGCTCCATAACCTTCCTAACCTGGAGCATGTCACTGGCCGAGAGACGGTCCCTGCAGAGTGCACAGGAGGTAAAATCAGCTCTCAGCAGACCAGATGGAACGTGCTGTAGACCTTTGAGGTACCGCTCAGTGCTTCACATGTTAGAAGAAACACACTTTTTTACAAATTCCACAACAAAATACAAGGAGGAGAAGAACTCACTTCTTCAGAGTTTTTGCACCAGAAGAGGAATGGGGCTGGAGGTAGAATGGGATTTTATTGAACTTGGGCATATTTTTCTGCAATAGAAGGATAAAACAGTACATGTAAATATAATGCATTAAAACATGACAAGCACATGGAAGATCTTAGAAAATAGGGCTTTCCACCTAGAGAGAAACATCCCTTAGTTTACATTTCCGACTCACAATCTTGAATTTTTCAAGATGAAGTTAATTCACAGAATTTTAGAAGCAAAGCTGTAATACTTCAAATCGACTTAACATTGCTGCATCGATGGCTAAAATCGTAACACACTTCAAGACAGTGTCAAGACACTTTGACCCCCATTTAAATCTCAGAACTAAAAAGTTAATTATTCTTCTAGCATACATAGCCTTGAGAGTCTACCCACAGTTCCAGTAAACAACAAAGATCACCTGATTCTCTGTAGTTAACATTTAATTAATAATAAATCTGAGACAAGATTGTGTCAGCCTTTGCTGGACTTTGAAACTGTCAATGCCTGTGACAATTTTATTTGTCTTTGCCTCTATGTATAATAAGCTTTATACATACAATTATTTATAGAATACACACACAAAACAGTATGCGCACAATATACAAACACACACATTAGCGTCCTCATTTTTATGATAGGTCACACAAGCCAAAGCCAAAATAAAAAAGAAAGAAGGGAGCAGAGACAGAAGTTCAAAGTTCAAGCATTTCAAGTTAGAGGAACAGAAAGGAAGAGAAGAAAAGCACATAAACACTCACACATTTCTGAAGAGACTGTACCTTATTAACATGTGTGAGGAGACAGAAATAATACTCACATCTACAGTTATGTCAATAACCCACTGTGGGACTGTCTCGTTCAACAGCATTGATTCAGTCTCTCCACCGGAATCTCTACATAGCAACCTGAAAAACATAAGTCATTACATGAGAGACATTTAGGAGCTGATGCCATCAGTGAGTCACCTGACACCGTGACAAGTGTGAGAACAGAGATGATACAAGGTGACACAATTAAGTGCACAGCAGCACTTTTACATTTATTCTGCACTGACAGGCAAAAGTCTAAGTAAACAAATACCTAAACAGAGTTCTGCCTCCTGCTTCACCGAAGATGACTGGTGTGTGTGGTGGCACCTGGAAATATCCGTTTCCTTTCTGGACACGGTTCTCCTGCTCGCCGTTCACTGTGGACACAAGAACAATCCCGCTGTAAGTAAAACTGAAAGTAACCTTGGACAACTAGTATTTATTGACAAAAGTAAGATATGGGTGTATGTGTGTTTGATGCAAAGAATAACAATGAAAGAAAATGTCCCATTAAAGTTCTGAGATTTGATTTAATTTTATATCAGCTCCGTACCATGGTTCACCTCGTTCTCTTCCTCGTCCATGGGATTGATGCGAGTTCTGGGCCAGAACTCCAGCAGAGCCTGCAGCAGCAGTCCACCCAGGTTCACTGGAAAGACCAAGGGTTAAAGTCATGTGAGTTACAACCAGTACCTCTGCAATATTTTATATGCATTTGAATATAAAATGGAATTTCATCAGATATCTTACATTTTGGGTCAGAACCATCAGAGCTTGAAAATCCTGCATCCTTTGCAGACACCCAGGCAGCAAAGCAGTCGCTCTCATCCAATGTGATAGTGAGCATCTATTCAGCACCAAACAAATAACACACACATATAAGACTATAAACCAGGCTCAGAGAGGAGATGCAACTGCTTGACAGATGAAAACTTCTTATGTAACCAGGTTTGTCCCTCACCCCAGTTTTCAGGTCAACAGAGAACCAATTTGGCACATAGACCATCTTGAAACGCTTTTTAATCTCTTCATCAAACTCCACTTTCCCCAAGTCTTCACCCTTGCAAGCCTGAAGGTAAAAAAAATTGAAACAATAGATAACAGTTAGATAGTTAGATCTCGAACACATTTAAAATAAAATACATACAGGCAAATAAGAAAGATTTCCCTGTCTTAAAGGTCCAGTGTGTTAGATTTAGGTGATCAATCATCCATTTCACATGTATTCAGTATATTGGTTTGAAACATCTATTCAATAGTATGTTGGCCACGTTGTCATTCTGTCATTAGAGATGTTCCAAACTCCTTTGATTGTAATACTATGACTTTTAGTATTAGTCCTCACTAATTTTTTTTCTTGAAGATATAGTTTTCTCTCAGATTGTGTGATGTGATTAATAATCATTTTATTTTAAGTTTCATTATGAATTGGATGCAATCACACTCTAAAATACTTAGAATAACATAAATACAGCATGGATTTACCTTTAGAACATCCCAGAATGCCACGTTGTTGTTGGTATCTTTGGTAAGTATGTGTCTCTTGTCATTGAGAATGTGGCACTGGATAATACTGGCACCTCCTGTGAACGCAACAGACAATTCTACTAAAAAAAAACAAAGACTGATTTAGGGAAAACTAGTTTTATATAGAAGAAAAACACACGTTTACCTTTAATGACTTGCTCTGGCTGAGTACACAGTGGTGTCAGAGGGGTAGTGCAGTCATTGTCATACTCCCCTGATGATCTGAAGTTGTGCATTCCCTTTAATGACTGCACACAGAACATAATAATTATCAGAGACTGCCCTGGATTTTAACAATCGCCTCCTCTCTCTCTTCCCTGCGGCAATATCTGTGATTAATGTAATGCAATTATCCTCTGTGTATCACCCTCATAGCAAATCTGGTTTAAATATCTACACACATTACAGTAGGATTACAGCCAAAGAGCATTAGGAGCTACCACATTCACAAGTCTGAATGTACACTGTGTTCAGGTCATTACGTTGTCAGTCGCCCAGTGATCTCAGAGGTGTCACGCATGCTTACCCATTTATTAACGGATGACTTGGTGGTAGAGACCCAGATTGCTGGAGGTGGGTCAGCAGATCTGTCCAGTTCCATCTAAACAATAGAGAAAGGCAGCAAAAAGGTTGGATGACTTCTAACGGTTAGCTATGKACTCACATATGACAGAGGAGAATACCTGGTTTATTATTTTGACTTGCAAATTGCAACTAAGCACAACTTCCCTAAAACAAGTACTGCCATTGCCCTCAAAGCAGAGATAAGACAAGCCTCAAAGAAAAAAACAGAAATCCATTCATATGAAATGAATACCTGTAGAGTAACATGCACTTGTGGGTTTTTATTGCTTAACCCATTTCGACCAGATGCAACATATGCATATACGAGACATGTTTGAGGAGGTGGCTGAAGAAGGAGATCTTATCTTATCTCATTTGCCGGCTTTATTGGTTTTTGAAGATGCTTCTGAAGTTCAGTAATTTTTACACAACGGATAATTCGTTGCAGGTTAGTGTGTTTCTGTTCTCTTACTTTGAGCACTGGGGCCTTTTCCTCACAGATGAGCACACGGATATCTGGGTTACGCAGGTCAGTGCAGTAGATCTTTTTGTCCCTGCCTCCAGAGTAAACGTGTGTAAAGGCCTCGTTGACCTGCAGGGCCCACACCCCTTCATCGTGCACCCGGTAGGTGGCGATACACCTCTGCTGGCCGAGGGACCAAAGGCGGATGGTCCCGTCTGAGCTGCCTGACAAGCACTTTGGGGAAAACAGACAGGAGCTGATTAACATTCATAAATCATTAATAAGTAGCTGCCAACCACTGTTTGGGTCACACATTTGCAGTCACCTGAGTGCCATCTCGATTCAACAGCAACGACTTGACGTTGTCTGTGTGACCTTTTAGCTTCATCAGTTTTGCACACGTTCGAGGATCCCACACTCTAAGAACCTGAAGGCAAAGGCAAAAAGAGATTAGTGTTTCAACTGCCAATATATAAAATCATCATTTCAATTTTACTGTTTCCAATAACTTGACATCTTGTAACCACCTTTTCTGTGGATCCAGATACTATAACTGTGCCCATCTGGTTCATAGCCAGACTGTAGATAGAGTCCTTGTTCCCACTGAGAGAGGAAGCTGTGGCAAGCAAAACAGAATACGTTGTAGAATTTCTTCCACTGAAAAATGCATGTACACAACCAAGTCTGAATACAATTGTGCAA